TTGCCAGCAGATCATATACTCCACGTGAGGTGTTTTTGAATATCTCAGCCCCTCACAAAGAACGAATTACAAAGGAATGGTAAGTAGCGGCCATTAGAAGTCCGAATCATTGGTGGATCGTCCAAGTGGAACGGTCAGAGTAGGTTAAATTGATTAAATAATTTGCGGTCCTTGGTAGGCCGAAACGTAATTTCTGAAGCAAACGGGCAATCCGAAACATGGAAAATATGGAACGGCCATAGTCCTTAAAGGGACTCTGAAGAAAATTCAAGAAAATTTGCTGAATAAACAAAATAAGCTTTCTAAAAATTAATTTTCCAGAAGTATTTTATCTATAAAAAAATACCTCGGTGCAGTTAGATTCAAGTAATCACGAATTGCCGCATCTAGCATTTGAGGATCAATGGATGTCTGGGCAGTGGATAGGCCAAGGCGTGCCACAAACATATTTATTGCTTCTGGAGGAACACCCCGGCGACGAAGCGCTGTTAGCGTGAATAGTCTCGGATCATCCCAATCTCTATAAAATCAGCGGTGAAAAAAAGAATACATTCAAATAAACTAACAAAAAAAAAAAACATCTTTCACACGTATGGCGATTTTGAATTTTGATCAACTTCTAGTCAATAAAACACACATCGTCGGCCAAATGTGTACAAAATTTTGACACTCAACACGCATCAAGCACATCTCAAAATGGCTAAGCCGATTGTAGCAATCAGGACGACCCTGGAAGCCCAGATGGCGAAGGCGTAGTAGATTACAGCATGAAGGAAGAACAGTATGAGAAAAGAAGGTATTATATTTTTTGGTTATGAAAAAAGGCTGTAACAAAAAGTAGTAATTAAAAGCAAAAATGAAAAAACAAATAGCAACGCGCACCAGACTAGACTCCGTGGTCCCTGAGATATTGATTTACCCGTAAAAAATTTCCACGGGGCCGTACGTGTTACCCGCGGGTACGAGAAGGCTGAATTTGAATGGGCAAGGTTGAGCGTGAGCAGGGGGTTATTGTCCTAAAATTTCAGCCTCTTAGACTCCGTGGTTCCTGAGATATTAATTTACCCGTAAGAAACTTTCACGCGGCCGTACGTGTTACCCGCGGGTACGAGAAGGCTGAATTTAAATTTGCCGCGTCTCCCGCTGGCGAGGAACACTATACCAAAATTTCAGCCGCCTAGCTTTTGTTGTTCCCGAGTCGAAAGTGCGGGACAAAATGTGGGACACACACAAACACACGCACACACAGACAACCCCGTGACAGTATGTGTTTTGTAACCCTGTTACACAGCACAAAACGCATAAAAATTGAATTGGAATGTTTCGGTCCATTAAGTCACATACATTCCCATTCAGTGCTACAGTTGGATCTTGCCAGTGTGACAGTTGCAAGAGAAGTATTAAAAACTTGCAATATTGTAAATTAAAGAGAGAAGTAAAAAATAAAAAAAAAATAAAAATAAAAAAGTAAAAAACAAAAATAAAAGTAAATAAGAGTGAGAAAAGACGTTTCGGTCCATTAAATCTTAACAGATGCTTGTGTTAAGGGAGAATCACTGAGCTGGAAATTTTTCTCGAAAAACGAAACGAACGTCAGGGTCGCCAGCACACTGACTACCAGATCATGCAGCACTAGTCAAAGCAACTTAGTAAATTACCCCAGTTTTATTGCTTTAGAAAAATGTACTATGACTTAGACTTGATTTAAAACATTCCCAATATTTTCACTATCAATGCAATCTCGACAGGTTTCCACGATTTCAATAACAAAGCTACATTCTGATGCTCCTACCCCAGCACTCTTGGGCATTTTTCATAAAATATTAAACCTATATAAATAAAAATAAAGGGAAATTTATCAGCTTACCGGATAATTTTATTATCAATCAAAGCTTTGATTTTGCGCTTCGAAACGACTGTATAATTGATGTTCAGGCGACCATATTCCCATTGTACAGGACAATAGATATCCAGGGCATTACAAAGCCAATAATAGCTGCTACGTCTGCAAAATAAAATTTTGAACTTATGAGCATAACAGAAGAATGTCGTATAAAAAGTAGGGAAGTGGAAGGCAGTACGGGCCATAAAGGCCCTATAGGCAAAAGGAAAAGGCTAATAAGCTGAGGGATAGGAAAAACGGACCATAAGTTCTAAAATCAATTATGGATATTTTTCTGAATTCCAGAAAATGCATTATGATACAAAATATCTCGCCAGCTAATTACTGGTTCACGAAATGTGTTAAAGCACAAAAATTAGTGACGGGACATCAAGTAATCCTATGCTCCTTTATTTTCAAGGATGAAGGTTTTTACAGCAGCAAAAATCAAATAATGGAGCGAGGTTTTTCGGATTCATGGTCCGAAAACCCATTTCGCTGTTCGGTTTATCATTTACCCCTCAACAGAAAACTTTTTTTATTCGTATACGAAAATGACAAATAGAAAATCTGTCGATTTCGTAGTCCTCTATTTTTTTGGGAATTTTTAAAAAAGTAATCGATCGCGGTTCAAAAAAAAAAACTTTTTTTAAGAACTGCCTTCAATTTCTAACCGTTCCGTCAACTTGTTTCTAAAAAATTCCTCGAAAAAAGTGCCACTGTCAGCTTAGCCAAGGAATGGCTGCTGTTGGCTAGTACAAACAATTGAGCTACTACAGAGTGCCTTCACATTTCTGCCTTGTCTGCATAAAGTTAGATCAAACTGAACCGGCGGCTAAACGATCCAAATCCGACAACCATGTTCTTCACATTAGTTTGACGTTTTGCTTCATTTTTATAATGCTCTTTCCCTTCTTCCTCCCTAGTTCCTTCCGTCTTTTCACATGGGCACATTTGCTGCTTTACATGGTGGTTAGGGAGCTGTACTGGTGGTTTCCACCCCCTAACCACACCTTCTGTTGTCTTTGTTTACAGCTAAGGGATGAAACACAGACAAATATTCTCAAATATTCTCAGTACATGAGATACGAATATGTCACACTGTTAATAAAACATGTTCCAAAATACCATCTTCGAATCCCCACCACGCGCCACATGGAATATTAAACTTGAATCTTCCTATTCCATTCTATCTATTTAGGAGTACTATTCAAAAAATCAAGTTTTTCTAACCTCGACTGAAATTCTTTGGTACATAACGAATGTGTAATGTTCTCCAGTGAGTCGCATAAACAATGAGTATAATCATAAGTAGGATAAATGCACCTGAAAAAAAAAACATCAAAAAATAATTGAAAAATATGTTCGCAGACGCTTCAAACTAGGGCAATGCTTTTCCACTTGGAAAAGCTAACTTCTGAGACAAAACTGCTGCATAAAATAAGAGGATTTTTGATGTTCCCATGGGCGGATCCAGAGGAGGGAAGGGGCGTGGAAACCCGCTTATGAGATCAAAATCATGTTATTTTATGCAGCCTCCCCAACCCCCCC